GAAACTGAATCAAGGGAAGATCGAATCAGAAAGATGTGGAAGGAAGCGGCCAAATATAGAAATGACTGTTTTGACACTTCTGTTTTTTTACTTATCTGCTGTTATCTAAATGACTTGGTCTTTCGTGGAACTTCATACAGGCCTAATGTTAAGTCATATAGCTGAAAATATTTACTTTAGAGATTATTGTAACACCAGATTTCAGCCTCCACCTTTTTGGTTATCTTTGAGTGTGACTCATTTTATCACAGCTCAGATGTAAGATAACGGCCCTGAGTGCTTTTTGAATGACTTTGCTAGGGAAAAGATTTTTGAAACAGCTATCAGGAAACACTGGCACATTTTGTACCAGACTAATTTCCAGACTTGGTCCGCTTGGACCATCCGGTTCCTACTACCGCCCCCCCCTCCCCCAAGCATAACTTAATAAAAAATGTTTTTAACTACCAGCAAAAAATCCAATAAATCTCATCTCCATTCAACACTGTGCAACGTCTATCTTTAAAATTAAACCATCTATCCACAGCAATGATAATATTGTTATGTCACTTTATTTTCCCCACAGTACATCACTGAAATAAGTAACTGGCTTGAAAAGATGATCAAAGGTGCTCATCTGACACCGTTGCACTCACTCCCCCTCATGTTCTAAAAACGCACAACTTCAGCTACTTTTATTCCAGCGTGTCATTAGTCAGAGCCGGTGAAAAGTAGACGCACAGCATTACTGCTTAAGAAATCAGCGCATCTTCACACACATACAAACTGCATTTCGCAAAAGCACAAAGACACACTAACACTCACTGCCCTATATGTCCCATAACCTACATGCACTAATCAATACACGATTTACACATGGATTAGGTGTACTGAGCTGCATCTGCAGGTGTTTGCCACAGATGAATGATTTATCCATTTTCCGTTTCGCTGGAGTCGCTTGGTTATGTAACACTCACCAGACACTCTTTCAGCTTTTATTGCTTTCCATCTTTGGACTTGTTTCTGTTTCTTTCCTTTATTTGTTGCATGTAAATTAAGTACTTGTCTACGTGTGTTGTTTTATTTTGCTATATAAGAAATAAGCAATTGAAAAGGTTATTCTTATTTTAGTAATAGGCTTTGCTGTTTATTAATAGAGGTGGTTTAGCAAAGGATGCCAAATAACGAGGCGCCTTTAGAGAAAAGCATGCAGCCAGGCCCGTTTATAAGTGTCATAATAAGCCAATTAAGAGTCTGAGCTGCTTATGAATACTTGTGTTTGTTTCTACAGGACAACCAAGTCACCGGCTTCAAAACATCACCACATTTTCGGGCCTTGCCGAAAGAGAGAAACACAAAGGCATGATCATTTCTGCATGCAGGAAGTTGTCATATAAACAGATGTTACATAAGGTGCAGGTGAGACGCGTCTGGCAAAGATCTCCCCCAGTAACACAACAGCCCCGTCGACAAAGAGAGAAATATTATGGTATCCGGTATCAATCCAATCTCTGTTGTATACAGTTTATCTTCCGTCACTAAGAATGTGGTGACTGACGGAACTGGATGAGCAACAGGGGTTTTCAGCGGTTTCCATCTTGGCAGTGAGTCATACATCTGCAAACTCCCTGATGATTAATGCATCAACCAAGTCAGTGCCAGTGAACGCCGGAGCCAGGAAAAGGAAGCAAAGACTCAAGAAGGTACAAGAGGTGTATTTCTGGCAACTTTCAGTTATGATAGTAAGGATAATGATAACATTAGTAGCAACACATTTGTTGTATTTTTTTTTTTTTGTAATTTAAAGGCAGGCTTGGTTAACACTTTTTAAGATTTTGGTTGAAATTGTCTTTAGGTCCTGACTGAAATGAATAAGTCATGTGTTCTGAAAAACGAACAAAGAAAATTTGTCATCTGTAGAAGACGCTTTTATCCAAAGCAACGTACATCAGAGAATAAGGACAACACAAGCAAGGATCTAGAAAAAAGGAAACAATGTCATCAGCTTTGAGTCCGATTGGACACACAGGTGCTGACAGGAAGTGACCAGAGGCAAAGCACAACACTGACGGCAGTTCTCGAGAGCTCTAATCAGCATAGAAACCATCTTAAAATCGTTGTTATCAAACAAAACCATCGTCATTACCATCATCTTCTTCATTCATATTAAGACCATTGTCATCATGTAAAAACTTGTCTCCCATTAGGTCCCCTACACTGTCACTGTTTTCTTATTGCTCTTTCCCTGCTGCCTCCCTTCTCACCCTGCACTGTCCTGGAACTGTCCTTGCTCTCTCCCTATGGATTCATACACTGCAGTTAAAATTTATGATCGCTGCTGCAGTGGAAGAGAGTCAGTATGCTCAGTATGCTCCAAGCTCCACACAGGAAGGCCGTGGCTGGGGTTTTAAAAGGGGAACCATCTTGTTTTGAGGAGGTAGTGTGCTTGGTTGTAAGGGCGCACTCACACAAGGCCGTCTTGTACACACGTCATCATGTGGTAATACAACACACACACATGGTTTCAGCATCACTTTCCAAGAAGCGTGGAGAACATGACTTCAACTTTGTGGCTTATTTTGATTCGGGGATTTCAATGATTGTACATGATTTCCACGTTGCATACCCATGTTTGTAGTCCTGCATGAGCAACAGTACTTTGCCACCTCTTCCAACTGTGCCAGGGTCAAGGAAGTGTACCATGCCTGAGCAACAAATCAAGAACACCCACTGGTCTACAAACTAGACTTTGGGCGTCAAACATGCTTAGGCATGATACAGATCACATTGTGCGAGTGCGCTCTAAGGGGTTTAAGGACTTTCCGGTATATTATGCTAGTTCAAAATCATGGTCCACACTCCAGTGTGAGAAGGTAGAACAACAGAAAACCACACTGGTTTTCTGTTGTTCTACCACACTGATCAACCTTCCAGTACATTGTGGAAGTTAAAAAGCCTTGGACCAGGGAATTGGAAGAAATATGTTTATGAGGTTGGTGACCTGAAATAACCTAACCGCTCCTGCTTCAACTTTTCTTCTCTATCAATAACATATTATTATATTTATTTGGAAAAAAGGTTTTATAAGATTTGTTTCACCCTTTGCTTATACATTTTCCATCTCCACCATGCAATCACTGGATCTACATTTACAGTAGATCTAATAAAGTTCTCTTATTTCAGCATTTAGAGCGTCTAAACTTTTCCTAGAAGAACATTTCCTCGAAGGATACTTTGAAAGCAAATACTGCTGCATACCTTGTCAGCACGGCTTTATGGTGGAAAATATACAGCGGGAGCTTCACTGCAGCTTACAGCAGCATCGAGTAAGTCTGCCTGTTACAGAGCTGACTCCAAAACAAACTCACTCCAGCGATCCTTAAAATACTTCAGCACCCTTTTATTATATATTTTTTTTACGATGAACTTCTTAGTAAGTTTTTTTTTCCATGAGGCACCTTCATGTCTGTTTGAGCCACACAGAGAAAATTGGGTTCAAACCTCTGGATTGCAACACCCAGTGGCTGCAGTTATGTATTCCTGACATATTAATGACTTCTTTCCAGCGTCCTATTTGTCACATCAGTCAGGCTGGGCAGATCAGGCGGCGGCCTTAGTAGTTGGAAGAGTCGTCGTCTCTCAACCGGAAGGTCGGAGGTTCGACCATTCTGATGGTCTCATTACATAGCAACCTCTGCCATCAGTGTGAGAAAATGTAGGTGTGACATGCGTTGTAAAAGCGCTTTGAGTAGTCAGAAGACGAGAAAAGCGCTATACGAGCTCGAGTCCATTTATCATTTATCAGGGAGGACGGGGTTTGAGTCATGATTAGAGCTGTTTTCTGTTGGCTTTGGTCACTTCCTGTGATTACAGAATGCTAATTCTTACTAATTCTTAAACCTACTATTTATAGGCTGCCAGATATGTGTGGATTATACATGTGGTGTAAAAATAGAGAAATAAACGAGGGGTGGGGTGAAAAAAAAGGTTAGGAAGAAGAAGATACGAATCCAAGGGCGTGATTGAGTGACTCAGGAGAGCACATACAGCGTAGGAACTTTATATTGAGTAATTTGGCCAATGGATCAAATTTTCTTACAGAAACACATATGACAGACAATTTGTATTCCCATTTTATAGCAAATGAAAAAAAACAACTTCATTACTTGAGTTCACTGTATTTGGTAGGTTTTATTTCTTAACATCACTTTCAATAAAAATGAGGTTTAACTGTTGGAGGCTACAGATATCTACAAATGAGCCAAAGTAGACTATAAAAAAAAGAAAAATATTGTCATTTAAAATGATGACCAATCTCGCTTGAATGTTTTCAGAGCCGTGTGAATGCAGACTGAGGTGAAAAAAAAATACATCTGCTTCATATCATTGCATAACTCAAAACCTCAGAGCAGCAGGAGAAATTCCAAAGTGAAAGAAAAATGAAGCCGTGTCAGTCGGTTAAGTAATGTGATGGGTTTATCTCGAGGTCGTCGATTCTGAAGGTACTATGAACAGTCACTCAGTCAACACATTTAACTACATGAAGAAAGTTATAGACTTCTTTCATAATGTGCACTATCATCTTTTATGATCTTATCATTACTTATCTTTCCCTGTCTTATTGTATTGTATCAAAGTGATCACATCATATCTTATCATCATGAATCCTAGCGTGCATTATCATAATGTATGTCATGGTTTACTCTTAGTTACTGGGTTTATTCCTTGTTTTGTTTTTAGTCTTATTTAATCATTTTCTATCCTGTGTTGCTTGTTTCCTTAATGTGTATTTTTATTGTTTCATTTCCTACTTTGGTTATTTATGTTTTCCTGTTTTATTTTGTAGTTCTTGCCCCTGTGGCTCTTGTCTAGTCTTACTTCCCCCCTTTGTGTGTTTCCCTCCCTTTTTGATTGCCTTCATCAGTCTCACCTGTGTCTCGCCTGTCTCACCTGTCTTTGATCGCCCCCTCTATTTAGTCTGTTTTTTTTTTTCCTCTTTTCTTTGTTGGTTCATTGTCAGACTTTGCCCATGTTCCTGTTTTGAAGTTTCCTCTTGGCCTTTGGCTTTTTCCTTTTGGATTTTGATGGACTTTGTCTGAACTAAAGAGTAAGAGAAAGTTTTTTTTTTTTTTTTTCACTTTTGCATTTCGTTTAAATAAATCTTTTAGTTTGGTAGTTCGGCCTTTTTGTTTTTTGAAGGTCATGACAATGTATCCTATCCTGTATTTTAATGTATCTGATTTAACATGACGTTTGGTATTTAAAAGTATCCCATCATGTGACGTACAGAAACTCATCATATTGTATTGTATGGCATAACATATTGTCATATCTGTCGATTGTTTATCATATTGTTTTGTCTCATATTCTATCGTATTGCATCCACTGAGACTGACAACAGACTTCTGTTGAAGATGTGTTTTTCTGATCTTTGGTGCCAGGACTACAGGGTTGCCTATGTTTGTGCAAACAGTCATCTAAGAACAAAATCAAGAACAGAAACAGAAAGCCATTTTTGGCCTCTAACATACAATTTTGTCATTACCATACATTTGTGGATGGATTGTTGTCTATTCTGTTCTACGTCATTCATGGAAATTGTTCAGAAGAAAGACTGAATGTTCAGCAGATGATGGGGAACAGCATTTCAGATGTGTTTATTTTTTCAATCCCTTTGTGTATCCTTTGTTGATTTCTTCTCCCTCAGGCTAAAATCTATACTCTGCTCTCACTTTGGTTACATCACCAGCAGCACACACGTGGAGATGGCTGTGATCGAGGAGGATTCTGAAAAACACACAGCAGTAGTTTGGTCTCCAAAATGTCTCGTAGGTTGTTAAAGAAAAATATCCCTTCTCTGTTAAAAGACACTTTATTTGGTTGGTGGTTGGCAAAGGCAGAATGACTGTGTTTGAATCTACTATAGAAGCCACAGAAGCCTCGTAAAAAGCTCAATGATGACAAATGAGGTTTTTCCACTCTGCTTTCACATCCTCTGGATCTATTCCTGTCTCAGACACTGCGTCCCACATGCCGTTTATATCTGACAAGCAGTTAACAGCAGCTTCAGTGTTAAGTTACTGAAAGTGATAGCTGACGCACATTAGCTTCTTTTCTGCCTTTTCTTGGTACAATGTTGTTAATGGATTATTTTGCAAATCCATAACATGATCCCCTTTGCCTCTGGGTCTTATGTGAACACCAACAAATGTCAGGCAAACCTGCTCACTGTTTCCATGTCTCATATTAGTTAATGATTTAAATGTTTCAATCAAACTCAGATCTCATGAGGTAAATGTTTTAAACATGTTAAACAGGCATATTTTAAAAGTTCATTTTTGGGCTTTGTATGCCTTTTTATTGGAGAGATAGGATAGTGGTCTTTAGTGGGTAGTCAGAAATTGGAGGGAAAGTGGGGCATGACATGCAGGAAAGGAGCCACTGATCAGATTTGAACCTGGGCCGCCTACTTTGAAGACTACAGCCTCCGTATGTGGGGCGTGCGCACTAACCACCAGTGGCATTTTAATGCCGCCCCTGCAGAGTTCAGTGGCCTAGTTTGGTCAGTCAAGTCCAAAAAGTCTGGCTCCACCTGTGATGGGGAAACAATCTTTTGCGAAAATATTAGAGATCTCACACAATCTGTTGGCACCTCCAGGTGAGTCTGGATAGTAAAGGTGCAAAACTTTATCTTTGGAATAAAAATTAAATGCTGATTGGCTTACACTAATGTGGTGTGTACAACAACTCTTCTACTTGATACATGATAGTGGCATCACTGGACATCATCAAAACAATCTAACACTTTTTCTTTCTTCTTGTTTTTCAGAAGGCTGACGGGACGTTAAAGAGACCAAAGTCTGTGTGTGAGGTACCCCCATATTGAACATGTCTGTGGCCCCTTGAACAGAACCTTCTTTCACTGACTTTGGTTGTAACCAAACAGTCGAGTTATTTTGCAAACGGCACAGTGCTTGCCTGTTTGCTGAAATGCCTCATTATGTGCTTTGTATGTACACACATACATCAAACTGTCACTACTCCCTCACTTTATAGAAAAGCTGTTGGTTTCAAAACATTTTCTTAATCAGCATTCAAAACTTCTATTTGTTTCAAACATACATGTGTGTGTTGGAAGAATAATAATGTTAAAGCCCCTTTGAGGAGTTCTTACCTGGTTAGGAAACAGACCGTCATAAATACTGAATCCTTCTAACTACCTACAAAACCCAGACCATCAACAATAAGATTCAATATTTCTTTATAGTACATTTTAAATGGCTGCAAGGTAGTGTAGTGGTTAGTGCTGTTGCCTCACCGCGAGATGGTTCCTGGTTCGAATCCCCGACAGACAGGAGCCTTTCAGTGTTGAATTTGCATGCTGTCCCCGTTCTTGCATGGGTTCTCTCCGGGTACTCTGGCTTCCTCCAGTTCAAACACATGCTCGTTAGGTTATTTGGTGACTCTAAATTTCCCCTAGGTATGAATGTGAGTGTGACTGGTTATCTGTCCCTCTATATCAGCCTGTGACCAGTCCAGATTGTTACCCGTCTCTCGCCCACTATGAGCTAGGATCTACTCCAGCCCCCCCGCTGGATAATGGATGCATGGAAGTTTTAAATGTCTGTTTCCGCTGCTGTAGGGTAGATGCCAGACGAAGCCGGCTGTAAGCAGTCACGCTGCAAAAATAGGCTTTCTTTACTACTTACCAAATATTCTCAATGAGCCACACGTTTGTCTTTTAAAACAACAAGCAGGATGATACATTATCTTTAAAGACACGACTCACCCATACAGGAGAAGATCAGCAAAGAAATGAGAAGAACCACTTTGTCCACAGCGGTGCCAAAATCAATATGAAGTGAATGTTCCTCACAGAGGGAGATGCATGAATGGCTACAACACAAAAACATCACTGTATCACACACCTCCTCTCTCTCTTTCTTATTCATTTAAAATGTCAAGGAAACACCTCACTGCGCATTCACTTAATCATGCTAAACCTGAACAGGAACACATGTCCTCCGCTCGCCCACAGACCTGTTACCTAATACCTCACACACTTAATGCCACGCTCTGAAGTGGGGACCAACAGGAGCTGTGGAAATAAACAATTGAACAAAGGGTGACCGTGGTCGAGGTATTCTGACAAATCAGGTTGTGATTAGTAATGTCTGTGACACAGCTAATGAATCATCACTGCCTTTGACCCTGAATGAACAATACTGAGTCTCTATGAATGAGCTGTTTCAGTGAATGCTCCTCAGTACACACAGTACAAGAGAGGAATAATATGCTTCCTCCCTCTTGTATCTGATCTATCCATCGAATATGAACTCACCAGTGAACCTTTTAAGGACCAAATGTGCAACATCAAACACAAATTGATGAACACTTCATAGTGACATTTGAGTCTTTGGCTGTAGTAGAGCTTTATACATTATCGCTGTACGTACCTGAGGATAATTTTTTTGTCAAAAAATGTGAGTTTCCAAGGCGACCAGAAGCCAACTCTGACGTCTCTGAATCCTGACAAGAAATAGTTCCAATACCGACTTTCAAAAATGTAACTAACTTTCAAAACTTGACCGTTTTAAATATCACTTTCTGTATTAATCAAATACATCAAATATGAGACCATCAGTAAAGAGCTTCAAAATAAATTTTTTTAATGACCACAAACGTTATTTTTTGAAGATTTTGTTTTGGGGCTTTTATGCCTTTTATTTAGATCCCAAAGCCGAGGCGGAAAGTGAGAGTGAGGGGGGGAAAACATGTGGGAAAGGAGCTACAGGTTGGACTTCAGAATCAGAAATACTTTATTAATCCCGAGGGGATATTTGGTTGAACCCGGGCCACCCACGTGACGACTACAGCCGTACAAAGGGTGCACAACAAACCACCACATAACACAGTAGTTATAAGGATGGCAACAAGATCAGATAAGGACAAAAACAAACTTTAAATATTTCAAGAAAATACAAGCAGGACAAAATTAAGTACAGTGAAATATCTATATATATTTCAACATAGACTTGTATTGAAATATTTTTTCTTTTGTTACTCCCCACCATAAGGTGGCCATATGGACTAACAACAACCTACAAAACTGACCCAATAAACACATCATACACTTTATACCAAAGTCAAAAATTAAGGGATTTATTGTCAAAAGACAGAAAAATAAATGATGACAAAGGTCAACTCAAAACTAAGTTAAGTAAGCACAACAACACGATCCCTGACTGAGAGACACATCAGTCCTAACTCCAAACGCCGCTCTCCTCCTGAACTCAGCATGGACTTTTGAGTTATGGAGGCCAGGTGTGCCTTGTTGTGCAGTCAGTAGCTTCACCTGGGCTGGAGACAACCGAAGGGAAGGAGGGACAAACAGCACAGGGAACAACACCTATCTACTACACAGACTATAATGTCTACATTATACTACAGGGGGGTTGTTGTTGATTGATTATTGAGAATCATGGCTCTGTAATAAGATCCATGTTTACCCATTAAGTGTATACGTGTAGCCGGTTTAACCATCCTGTATGTTTACTCTTCATCGGTTACCAAAGGTTGGACAGACGAATATCAACCACTTTCAAAGCTCTAATGAGGAGCATCTGATCCAGCATGGAAGCAGTGTGGATACATCTGGACTAAGGTTAGGTTTGGCTGTTGTTTCATATATTGGCAACAAGTGCTTTCTTGAGTTAGGCTTCATAAACTCATTACTTCCCAAGCTAAACTAAGCTATGCTCATTTATTGTTGGCTGTTGTTTCATATAATTACAACAAACCGTACGACAAAAGTGGTTTTAAACTTCTCATCTATCTTTTGACAAACAATTTAGAGTGTGTACCCCAAATATGTTGATTGCTCCTTTAATTCCACACCTACACAACATGCCTAAAAATGTTGTTGACTTATTTAATCAACTTTTTACCCTTTAATCTAATGTTCCACATCAACCAATAACCAACACATTATAATACATGAAAAATATTAAAAACAAAATAATGGATAAATATCACATTTTAATTGATTCAAGATTAGAATTCAACTTCTTATTAATGTGATCTAGAGATGGAGTAGGGATCTGAGAAAATGTGTTTTTATGGACATGTTAGTCCCCTAACTGTTGAAGTCACTGCTGTCATCCTACACTTTAGTTTGTGTTTATGAAGCAGTTAATCTGTGCCTGAATCCAGTCTCCACTCAGTGCGTCAATCGGGCATTAATAGCACCGGGAGGCTCAAGTGGTGCGTAATAAATGCTGCTAACACTAACCTACTCCTCCTGCTTATATCTTTGCTCTATGGATCATTATGAAAGCCAGGCTGCACACATGTGACTGTGCACTCACAGAAGCTTTGTTAAAGGATGGCAGAAGAACCTCCATAAAGTTCCTAACTCGTGCAGTATAAACCCCTCTCATGTGTTCACAGAGAAACTGTTGCTGATCTCCTGCAGAGGTAGATTGTCATGTTTCAGGGTGTGCAATTATAAACAGGACAGACTTCAAATATTCTGAGGTGTGTTTTGAATTTAAATTCCTTCGGTTATTTTTCGCTCCGGAGCGGTGATCAATAAAAAATGTGTCGAACAAAAACAGATGGCATTGTAGGATGTGGGACATGGATTAATGGAGTAGAATGCAGCACATGCTCAACAGATGATCAAAACAAACCAAGAGGAGAACAAGCCCCAGTAATTTTCCACAGAAAGGATTTTGTGTCATTTTGCGACAATTAATTTTCTGTTATTGTCACCCGTATGCTGAGCTTTCCCAGGTCAGTGACTCACTCCTGCCCCGACTTACCATTAGTCCCATTAGTCTCCTGGCAACCAGGATTTGAGCCCTCTGGACGCTGTCAGGAAACTCTTAGAAAAAAAATTAGAAAACAGGAACCAGGGACGGCTAACATAATCCTTCATTCTACTTCCAAGTGGCCAAGGTGTTACATAAATCATAAGATTGCAGCATAATGTCAGAATGAAGCTGCAAACAATCACAGCTCTAATTAAATAACAATGTTATTAGTTATCGTATCATGATTCCATCTATTTTCTTAGGATAACTTCAAATGAATGCATTGTAGGCAAATGCTTTATTATGTTGTATATTGGGTTAATATATTTTTGCATGCTCTGGCATGCTTGTGCACTACATCACGAGGAGATAATAAGGAGTTTAAGGGAACATTAATTTAATATTGGTGGTGTGAAACTATGCAGGAAATCACATGTCTGTGGTGCATATTGAATTATCTTCTTTTTTTTTTTTTTAATACTCTTTGCAATTGGCTTCCTGTGACGCTGAACCGGGATTCAATTACACAACCTGTTCCTCTGCATGTGGCTCTCCAGCTAGGTATTTATTTTTTTCCCTCCTTAAAAAAAATGCCAATAGTCTACAACAATATTGTAACTGGCAATCATCCTCCTCCTCCTCCTCAGCCTGGGAAGAATGATAAAGCACACTCTGTTGAACTGTCTGAGACTAAAAATATCTGATGAAATTAAAGCAGGGGTTCTAACAGGAAGGCCACCTCATCCTTTACTCCTGGCACAGAGCGAGCATTTCTCAATAACCTTTAACGCAACATTCATCCCTCAGTAATTTCTGAAATAATAAAACATGAATTCCTCTCCTTTTCCCCCTAAAGCATGTTATTGCTGCAGTTCATCCTCAATGTAAAAGCCATTAGAGGGCCCTATAGAATACTATTACTCAGATATTCAATTTAATATAAGGACTTGTGTCAAATGATCCTGTAAGTGTTAAAGAAACATGATGCAATCAGCTTTCCTCATGAAAGTAGTGAAAATAAAGAAAACCTGACATCTAAAGACCTAATCAGGGGTACCTTTTACCAAACAGGAAACAGCTCATAAATACCGGGCACTCAGCAGTCACATCTGATGTTTATAAGCAGCGGTTTCCTGGCTGCTCTACTCATGTAAAGGCATTTGACGTTGGTGGAATTGTGCAGATTTTTTTTCACGGTTGAGCTGATGTCTGAGTGTGCCTCTTTAATTCAACTCCCACTTCAACACATCCGATGACTAGCTCGGGTGGTGTAGATGACTAGATGGGTTTAATGTGAGCAGACAATTTAGGAGGGCATAAAAATAACAGTCGTAAAGCTAAGAGCGCCCCGGACGAGAGTGACGGCAATCGCTTTTGTTTTGGACGATTGTTTGTTTGAGTTTGAGACGAATTACGAAGAATTACGCCGTGAACATGACTAACTTAATCAGATGTGAAGAAATGATGCCTGCTTTTACGTCACAGCTGTGACCAACAGGATTAAGCAGCTGTTTAAAATGGGTTTTAGTGAATGTTAAGCTATAAATACCACTGAGGGAATGTAAATGCTTTACTGTATACAACTGCCCATACTGTAAATGCTGCAGGGCAACCAGGATGATGCCACCACTTTGGTCTGTAAGGAGAGGATGTGGCATACGGCAGTGAAAGGAAAACATACAGTCGTTTTTTTGTTATGGTGGATAACTCAGCAAGTCCACCCCCAGAGAAGGAGGGTCACGAGGCAAACGGGTCAAGTTTTCCTGTAAAAGGACTAATTCTGGTGCCTTGTTTTGTTTTGTGAATGCAAACAGAACTGAGCGTCTCATCACATGAGGTTGCCTGCAGGCCCCCCAGTCACACTTTCTGTCTACTTTTGGAGCAGAGTTCGACTTTGTTTATGAAAATCTTGGTAAAGTTTTAGGATGTACTAAAGCTGTATTTAGTCAGAAAAGAATTTTGTGAATGAGAAGTGACTGCCCTTTAACTCCCTGGGTTAGGGAGAAAAGTGGGTGAAAGGTGAGTGCTGCTAAATGTTTAAACATTACACCAAATGTGGGTTGAAATGAGAGTGTGAAGTCAAATCTAAAAATAATCTTTACTGGGCCGCTTTCATTCACAAGTTAAACCATAACTGGCAGCCGGGTGAAGCATCTAGGTCAGCTTAACGCTGCATTCCCGCTCAAGCCTCGAGAAAAAAAAAAAAAATTAAAGAGAAAGAAGCTGTCGGAAAGTCGACCAGATTAGAGCTCACGTTTGGTTTTAGAATAATCCTCCATGCTGGCATCATCAGCGGAGAGTTATGATGGGAAATGATGCTCAAATAAAAGTGCACATTCACAGCGTGTGTGTGTGTGACCGTATACACAGCTGGATTCACAGATCCACACGTCATCAGGGGATGGCTCGTCCATTAAGGTTATTTGATTTCTATTTTTAGGGACGTATTTCAAATCAAAAGGGTGACATCACAGTAATACTCAGCAATTGCAAACTCGATCATGCAGCTTGTTTTGGATCTTCC